CTGATGCTTCACTGGAAAATTAGATGGCTGGAGAGAGAGTGTGGGAACATCCTGTAGCAGGTCAATGAAGGCACTGACTGTCCTCCACCTCCCTTCTCCATGGAGACAGAAACCGAGGGACACTCACAGACATGAACATTCATATACAGATGAAGTTGAATGGTACTCAACCTCACTCATTTAAAGCGCTTGAGTGAAATTATGAATACGTATGCATATGCAGAGTAAAGAGCAGGGTTAATTGGTATAGAAATAACACGCCCAGTATTGTGTGCTTAGTTTAGAGCAGAGAAAAAGTTATTTTTCATTTCCTGTCAAATTCAGTGTATGAGTTGTTTGTGGATCAGCAAATCTGAGTCTTTGTGAAGTTAGTTGGCTGCTGTGTGAGTTAGTGTGGGAGAGCACCCTGATAATTACAGCCGTCTCTGACCATGCATCAAGATGCGCTTGTGTTATCTGTCAGCAGCTTGTTAGAGAGGTGAACAACCATGACAGATCTCTCTTTCTCCATCTCCCGGCATCTTTTTCTCTCACTACGCCCCATTACACAGGACGCGTGTTAAGACTATGATGAGAGCTCAGCTTTCTGCCCATGTCTGGCAGAAGCCCTGACACCAGTGAACGCCTCATCAGTCTCTGCGCCAACTGCCTCACTCATTCCAGGTTTACCCACATGGACACGTGGAGTGTTTTTTCCACGTTATGGCACCATGGTGGCCTAACACCTGCATGATGATAGCCTCACTGTCTCGCTCATCACAAACATCACATGTTTAATTTAGTTTGCTGTCAGCGAAAAACACCTTACAACAGGGTTGGGCAAATAATTTTTCCAAAGGGACTGCTGTGGAGGGCCACACCAATAAGATGAACCAAGTTCTTCTCAATAGTAATTTTAACCCTTTATATAAACTAATTTGTGCGACTCTCCACAGCGGTCCCAGTTTTTCTTGTGGTCCCATGGTAAAAATGTATATCCCACCCCTGCCCTACAGTGTCAGTCAGACACTACTTTGACTAAAATACTGTATGAATACATCAATATAAGAACCTCTGATGGGAATGCCATGATTTATATTTATAGGCATCTTCAGGAGTTGCTATCATTTGATGCTCAAAATGCTGCCCCTTAATGTAACCACAGGTTTTCCAACACTTTCTGTTCTGACTATTTTAAATGGGCAAACATTTTAAACATGCTAAACCTAGTAACCCAGTAGAGGTTATTGTGCCTATTATCATTCTTACCATCAGCATTTTAGTATATTCAGTTTTTTGCTGCATATAGATCGGTGCAGCCTCATGGACCTCCTAGTTTGCCTATAGTTTCTCATTTAAAATGGAAACGCAGCTATGTGTGCCTTCTTGACTCCCACACCATGTGCAAGTTTGATGTGAAGATCACTGGTGGAATCTTACGCTCTAATTCCTGGTAGAAGATTTCTATTGGTGTAACATCACTACAAACCTGTTAAACTCCATGGAACCTGTTAAATTCCCTGATGAAGGCATTGGAGTTTTCTATGTTGAAAATAAAAGTAAAGGTATTTTAAATGTGATTCAAGTTGCTGTAAGGAACGCTTACGCTACTATCCTAACAGAGCACTTTGCACTTTGTTCCTAGTCAGATCCTTCAGCTTTCAGGCCCTTTCCTGTGGAAGCAGCTCCCAGTTTGGTTTCAGAAGGCAGACCAGTTAGGTTTAAAACTTCCTTTTAGATCAAACTTAGTTTCAGTTATGTTCCACTAAGGCTTAGACGTCAATCTTCATATGTTTCTTTTCTTTCCCCTTATCCCCCCTCTCTGATTCTGGAGGTTTCTTCCTATTCAAAGGGAGTTTTTCCTTTCCACTGTCACCAAGTGCTTCTTCAAAGGAGGTCGTCTGATTTTGAAGGTTTTCTTTTCGTTCTAATATTGTAGATGTAAAGCACCTCGAGGCAAGTGTTTCTGTGGTTTGGAGCTATATAAACAAAACTGAGTAATGTAAATTACATTAACATCTGTTACAAGCATGAATTAATCTGAGGCAAAATACTTGCAAACATTCATCTAAATCACATTTCATGCTTTGTTTGTTTGTCCGGCATCCCCTCCTGGGACTCTGCGTGGACAGAAGTGTTACAAGTCACTCACAGTATCACATGCGTCATATTCTCAGATGTGTGGATGCATTTAAAGTTGTTTGTTTCGATCAGTCCAAGGTTAGACTCACATGTGCAAATAGCATGAAAAACGTGAACTGCAGGTGGCAGGACCTCAGAAACGCACAGTCAGAGTATCAAGAGGTCCCACAAGGGTTTGTCCCATGAGAAATAAGCTTCTGCACGTTTCTACAGCCTCTATTAATGAGCTCAGTGGGCAAAGAACAGAGTGTATTGTCTTGTGTGGGATGGACTGTTAATGAAGTCTGTGAAACATGACACAACACCTGTTGTTTGGCCAAATACAAAGATGTTTGTTCTCTCGGATTCAAACTGTCTGTCTGTCCCTCTGGCTGACATAAGTCCTGCATTTGTGATTTTTGATGTAGAGAGGTTCACATTTTTCCATCTGTTGATCCTGCTCTCTCTACATTTCATTTCCATCTACTCTCTTTGCCCTTCCTTTCATTTTCTGTTTCCTGGTCTGTCATATTGTACCTTTTTGTCTACAGTTTTATTTTCTAAAGCTCAAATTTTCCATCCTCCTCTATCATAAGCAGTGAATTTTTACACAAATTTCCCTTCAGTACACTGACACCTGAAACTTGCACTATAGCCAGAGCCAAGGAGAGCCATCAATAATTGATTGTGTACCGACACTAACTCGGCATGTCGCGACTGCTGCCTTTTGAGAAGCCACGGTCTACTCAAAGTTTTCAAAACACAGCATCTAGATAAGATGAGGCAACAACAGACTGTTGTGTTATGCAAGTGAAGTGTAGAAAGCAAGGGCGACGTCACACAAGAGTAGATGTGGATGTGTGCTTTCCACACTGTTACGTCACGCTGCATCCATGGCCACACGTACGTACAGATGTAAAGAAAAAAGCTTTGCTTAATCGCTGTTGCAGAAATTCAAGAGGTAGTAGATTTTTTGCATTTTTCAGGCCCCCTGAAAAATAAACTCTGTGCAATTAGTTTGTGGCTGCATGGCTCCCCCTGCTGTTTGAATGAGGTAGCACAGACTTATATACTGTACTGTCCCTTAAATATTGACATTTCAGCAGAAGTCAAAATACCCTAAATGTCATTCCTTTAGGCTAAAATTTCATGACTACTCCTAAAGTGACCCAAAATGACCCTGGGTCGAATCAAGGAAAATCGTGTTTTGAGGGAGTCTTGAATCATCAAACTATACATGCCATGTCTGTGTGTATTTTTTATGGGACAGTGATGACAAAGGTGAATAAGGACCTCAACATTGTAACGAGGACTGTCCGTGTTCCCATCCCATTTGCCCAGATTGCCCAAAAGACACTTCATGGGAGTGTAGATAACTTCATGTTGCTGGTTATAGTTACAGTTACTCGTGTAGCTGGGACTGTGACTGAGCATTAACTGTTTACAAAACAGGTCTTCATAATAGCATGAATAGCAACTTACTCAAGGGTCAGAAGGTTAGCAGGTGTTCAGTCCAAAATAGAGAGTACTATTCACTGTATAGCTAACTATTAAGAAATTCAGTTTAAAGCTGTCATAAGCCTGGATGGAAAAGTTAAAAAGAATAACATGTAAAAGCGTGATTCTTTTAAACAAAAGCAACCTTCCTTTTTGTGTGTGTGTGTGTGTGTGTTTTCCAGGTTAATGGCGTTAACATCGAGGGCATGCGGCATGCAGAGGTGGTGGCCTTCATCAAGAAAGGGGGAGATGAAACCTGGCTGTTGGTGGTGGATCCAGAAACAGACGAGCACTTCAAGAGGAGGGGATTGATCCCCACAGTCAGCCATGTAAAAGGTGGGATTGTGCTACATCAGGCTATTTGATGGGCTTGAATTTCCAAGAAGCCCTGTTGAGGAAGCACATGGCAGATATTTTATTGCATTATTTTGGTGAACATTTTTTCAAAAAAGATGTTTATAGTTTTTAAAAACTAGATAGAGCATTCTTCTTTGTTAGAAGACAGTCACAAAGATAGCCTGTTTGAACAAAAAAGCTTTAACTACTTTTTAAAGGACTCTACGAAATCAACTTGTAGTAATAGATTGTTCCACAGTTTTGGTGCCACAGGCTGAAAGGCTTTGTCATCCCCTCTCATCTATTTAGTCACGTACAGGGAAAACTAACAAATTCAGAGCCTGTGAATGAAGACAGCAAGCAGCAGTGCAATTTGTAGGTAGCTGACATAAACAATCTGGAGCCTGGCCATTTAGTGCTCTGTATGTAAATATTAGAATTTTTAAACAAATCCTAAAATTTATTGGGAGCCAATGTAAAGAGGATAAAATGGGAGTGATGTGAGCTTACTAGAACTTTTTAACAGGATGGCCACAGTATTTTGTATCGCTTGGAGAGGTGAAAGAGATGATTTGTCCAAGAATGTAAACATGGTATTACAGTAATCTAAATACGATGGCACAGATGGATGAATATTTTACTCCCGTTCACCTGAGGAGACCATATGTTGCAATTTAGAAATGTTCTTTAGATGAAAAAGGCAATAAAGACAGAATAGAGATAAAGATGTTTCATCCAAGTTGGTGATATTTAAAACAAAGTAATTGGTAGAGAGCTAATGACTAATCTGTGTTAAACAGTGGACTAGGGAAACCTCACCTGTCCAGCTGGTGAGGTTTTAAAGGGATATAAAGCTGAATGTCATCGACGTAAAAACATTTCATAAGAAAAATCAATAAAAGATTGAAGGATACCAGCTAAAGTATTTAGGATTTAGAAAGAAAAATACTAATTACCCCATGACTAAACCTTGTGGAGTCCCACAGTTTAGGGAGGCAATGTTAGAGGTGCACTTGCCAACCCTAACAGAGAAAGACCTATCAGATAAGTAAGATGAAAACCAATCTAACGCAGAGCCAGCGATACCAACTAAAACCTTAAGCCTATAAAGTAAAATGTTATAGTTAATGGTATTAAAAACTGCACTGAAGTAAAATCCATAAGACGCCATAAAAAGATCATTATAGACCTTTAAAAGAGTGGTGGCAGTGGAGCGCTGCTTTTTACAGCCAGACTAATTTGGCTTTAATTTGTTCAGGTCATCTGCTTAGCACTGACTAAAAAGTCTAGCATACACAAACAAATAATTTGGGGTATCTTCCTATGTAAAGTTAGAAGAAAACATCTAATGAGATCCCATTTTTTTAGATGAACAATTATTATCAAATAATGACAAAAGTAAAGACAAGCACTATGTCAAATAAGCCGTCAGCTTGGAAAACACTTCCTTCATATGTGAATGTTTTCGCAGACTATGACGGTCCATCCATATCCAATGGCTCCCCCAGTCCTCAGATCAATGGCAGCTCTACCACTCAGTCCATCCGGTCCACGCATTCTGACCTCAGCAGCCAGGGCAACAGCACGCAGGTGGATGTGAGCATTCGTGCACAGTGACATGTTTGGGCTTTGTACCTCCACATAAAAGCCTCTACCCTAAACCTTTGTTTGCATCTGTCTGTCTCATCATTTCTAGCTGGCAGATGATGAAGGTGGCCAGCTGTCTGACCCCTTTGCCGAGATGGGCCTGAGTCTCAGCGCTACGGCGGCAGAAGAAAAGATGAAGGTCCGTGGTAAAGAAAAGAGGAAGGCCCCGCAGATGGACTGGACGAAGAAGCATGAGCTCTTCAGCAATTTCTGAGACATTCTGCTCTAAGGACACAACAAAGGACAGAGCTCTATGCAGTGAATGGGAGACTTATCCTCTTGATATACAGATTCTCTTCTTCTTAGACAAAGAACCAAGATAACCCCTAAAACAGAAGATATTTTCATCCTGGGATTTAATGTGACAGAACTGTGACAGAACTGTTCGAAGGATTTTACTTCTTAAGTGACTTAATAGTCCAGCATAAAGGAAGTGCTATATGACTTTGTGACTGCAAAAAATTTGCTCAGAAGGGAACTTTGTCCTTACATGTACTGCTGTCCTTGGGGAAAGTGCAGTCAAATATTCACAAATTTGCCTTTGTCTTTACTTGATTATCCCATTCTCCCTACTCCTAGAGACTCTTTTTGACAGCTATTTTTATATTTAAAAAATATAAGCGACTATGATTAAACAGTATCCCATCATCGTGGACTGCGTTTGAGAGACTTTTGAGGACACTGTGACATGAATGATTGTGGATAATGTGGGGATTTTGTTCCACAGAAGTCATAAGAAGCCCAAAGTTTGACAGAAGATCACTGTGAAAGAGTTGAGACCCTCCACCTTCAGCCCATTGATCCCATGTTTGATTGTAACCACTGATAAAGAAAATGATAGTTGAGCATAGTGTATCCTACGTGTATTTGTACCCTTACTTTGAGTCGATTACTTTGATTTAAGAATCCCCTACTTGTTATTTAACCATTAGTCGTAATAAGTGTATCACCACTAACCTCTATTTACAAAGTGCTCCAGTGCACACATGCATAACAAAGGGAGGCACCACTATTATTAATTGTCTTATTGAAGGAAATAATAGGCATGAAAAGTGAGGGAGTTTCTCAGGGGAAATAGTGTGAGGGATGAGTTTTGTTGTTGTTATTGAAGGCTTGATGTGTACAGCAGGGGGCGAACTTACACCATGAATAGAGACCCCCTTTTGGCACTAAACGGAATAGATGTTTATCCAGACTTCATTCATCATCTTAAAATGTCCCAGAAACATTAAATAATTCAGATGAAGTGGAGAAAATAAACTTTAGATCATTTGAAGATGTATTTGTATTAGACAGCATTATTCAGATTTAATGTAAAGTGGCCTACACTTTATGAGCTAGTTATGTTTTGTTGGACTTTGATTCAAAGGTAAGTTGTTAAATATGAAGGTATGAAGCTCAGCATCATTTTATAGGTAGCTTTGGAAGGAAAGTGTAATTGCTGGCCACGTGCTAATAATCAGTCAGTATTAACTATAGTATTGTCTTGTAAACGGGAAGTTTATCAAGTTGATTTGTGCTCAAGGAAGGTCAATATTTTGTGACAGTGCTGAGAGAAACCCCTGAGCCACCTTTCATTTTTTTTCTACATTTTGCTAGGAAAATAGGAAATGTATGCAGTGATTTAACAAAATATGCAAATATACTTGTAAATACAGTATGTAAGGCAAAAATTCTGATGAGATTGTAAGTCAATATTTTGTATGACCACCTTTATTTTTCAACATAGCCTGAATTCTTTTAATCCGGTCTTTAAGTCTGACGTCACTAGCCGTGTCTGGGCTCAAACTTTGCTGCAGGTCCCAAAGTCAAACGATCACTGTGGCATCACTGAGAGTTGAAAAACTGTCTAAAGTCTTTCATCTGTAATAAAATGATCAGCGTTCTGCTCTACCAGGTGTAACAATTGAGTTTATCATCCAGGCATCCATGAAAACGGAATTTATGAAATTTAACGGAGTTAGAAATTAGCAGGAAGTTAGCTCGCTAGCTTCTATCTAAATACAATATA